GAGGGGGAGCAGCCTCCTCCCCCCGCCTCAACCCCCAGTTCCCAGGTCCAGTCCTGCCCCTCGGGGCCACCCTTCTCCCCGACGACCTTGCGGGACTGCCGCGGCCGGGGCCCTGGGGCACCGATCGAATCAGTGGAGGGGTCCGCAGGCCTTTGGCTCGGGGTCCTCTTAGCGGCCTGACTCGGGATGTGGAGAAACCTCTATGTCCGCCCCGACTGTCCACGTTGGAGGCAGAGGGTGGGGACCAGGGGCAATCCTGGGGCCTCCTCCACGGGCCCTGCGGCCATGGATCTCCCTCCAGGATGAGGCCAGCCCGCCCGCCTGGGTGTGTTCTTGTTGTTTTACCTTTCCCAAATATGCCACCCCAGGCCTCCCCCCACCGTGATGTCATGTTATTTTCTAAGGAGAAAAAGCAGCACTGAGCTCAGCATGCAAATATAGACAACTTGCAAAGCCTCAGGCGGCTCCGGCTCCTAGCGGGGCCTCTGCCCAGGCCCCCAGGCGGCTCTCACTTCCCTTCCACCCCAGGGACTTTCCTCCCGGACCCTCAGCCAGACTGAAAGGAGGAAGGAAGAAGTGGGGAAGCATCTGTTCACCCCCATCTCCAGCCTGAAGGACGGGGCTCAGCTCTGGCGGGGTCTGGCCCTGCGGAGAGGTCTGGCCCATTCGTGTCTGGACGGCCTGGGGGTGGGGGGGCTGGCCTCCCCTCAGCTACCACTTGGCAGAGACCCAGGGCGTCCTTTCTGCAGCCCATACTCCCCCTGGAAGAGGCTCAGGCTCCTGAGGCATCGCGATCGCCTCGGGCTTCCCAGCACCCTGTCCCCCCTCCCCTGCTGCCCCTTCGATGGTAACACCCCCTTAATTTGCCTTGGTCTGTATCTCATTTGTTCTGCGTGGTGGGGCCAAAACGATTTCATTGACGCATGTTTGAGACTCAAAGAAGCTGAATGGTTCCCTGCATTAGAGGAAGCTCCAGGTCTTCCAGACACAAGCAGTACAGAGACCAGGGCTGCAGCTGCCTCTGCCCCTTCCTCAGGCAGGTTACGCCTCTGAGCCTCCCTGGCATCCCTGCTGGCAGGGTGGGGACACTGGGCCCCTCCAAAGGGCTCTCGTGATTTAGAACTTGTCTGTCTCCAGGGACTGGCACCGATGGGGGCCCAAAATGGGAGCTGTGCTAAGCAGTGGGCTCCATGATATTAATGTGTTGACCCCGTACCCATACTATGTATTTAACAGCTATTAAGTGGGCACAAGTTGGATGAATACGTGGTTTTTACTCTCTACTTCTGCCACCTTCCCCAGGAGCACTTTCTGGTTAGTCTGTGGAGGGGGAGACCTTTTCTAACCTCAGGTCTCATTCTTCCATACTCAGAAAGCCAGTCTCCCAGCAACATCCTTATCCCTGATCCATGAGAACTGTCTGTTAGTTATGGGCTTGTTCAGTAGCTTGGTCTCCCCCCACCCCCAACCCTGACTTCTTTACAGACAGGCACCCCAGCCTGGACTGTGCTGGAGAGAATGTGACTCCTTCCTGCCGGGAACTCTAGCCGGCCCGGGTCTGCGGGGTCCTCAGTGCACAAAACTCAGCGTCTCCTCTCCATTCCCATGGTCACCACTCGGGTGCATGTTCTCCCAGCGTCACCCCGTTATGATAACAGTCTCTGAGCCTCAGAGTTGGGCTCCCAGCCTCTGGTATGTCCCTCATCTCCCCTCCCTGGGCCCCTTCCTCCCAGTCACAGGATTAAATCCAAACACCTCGGCAGTCCAGGTCCATCACGCCCACTCCAGGTCGCAGCCACCACTTAGGCGTCTCTTTTTGTCTTTCTAGTCTCCTCTGTCTCCCCAAAAGGACACACACAGCCTTCTAACATTTCCACTGGCTGAAACGTCCCCTCCCCAACTCCTTTGCCCCTAATCCAATCCCACTCTTCATTTAAGGCCCAGAAAACGATTCCCTTCCTTTATGAAGCCATCGAAGCCCCCTCTGATCTCTCTCTTCTGAGCCCATTCTATTTGTTCCTTCTTTCAACCAACATTTATTGGGGACTACTTTTTGTGGGGCGCGGCTACAGTGTTTGGACAGGCTCAAGCCTTGGACTGAGGAGAGGGCACAGTCCTCTCATGGCCACGTGCAAGTCCCAGCTTGGAGGGCAGAGCCTCCCCAGCACAATTATAGCCAACAGCTGTAGTTGTAAGCTTGAACCTATGGTCCGAACACGTGGCCCCACGTGCCTGAGTGATGTAGGCTTGGTTGAGTTCAGGTGCATGTAGTTGAGTAGGAGTGAAACCCATGAGAATGTTGTAAACATCTTGATCACGCCCCTACTTTGCCTCATGGCATCTGCTATAAAATAAAGACACAGCTGGTGGGTGTTGGCGCTGTCCATCAGAGAGGCAGCGTCCCACTGAGACCCAGCTTTCATTCCCTTATCTGTCTTTTCTTAATCCTTTCACCTCCCCAATTCAGGGTCACTGAAACAGGCTGAGCTGGCATGGCACATAAGGCGCCCAATCTGGGGCTGAGTATGCCATGGCCATGCCATCGGACCACAACTTTTTGAGTGCCAGGCCCTGTGCACACAGAAAAGGCCTGGGTTCCTGCCTTCAAGGGGCACACAGTCTAGTGGGGGCAGACAGACATGTAAATGAAGAGCTAGGCTGGAACGAGTGCTAGAATAGAGTGCAGAGAAGGTGCAGTGAACCCTGAGGAGGGACCTGCGGGAGGGCCACCTCTGGAAGGCCTCACCAGGGAAGGGTTATTCACACTCAGTCTTGTCATTTAAATAAGAGCGGCAGGGAGGGTGCTATCGGGCAAAACAGAATCACTTAATTGCAGGTTGCTTTGTGTTTTTCTCCAACTGTTTTTCGTGTGCTTGTCTTGCCTTCCCAGTGAGGTTAATCAGCTCGAGCGAGCGAGCGCAGGGACAGGCAGGCACGCTCTGTTCTCCCCGAGCCTCACAGCGGTGCCGGACAAACACCATGTGCTCAGAAAAGGCCTGTTGACTTGCAGCAGATAAACATCCATGCTCCTCTGGGATAACTGCCTGAAGGGAGCCCCCCTACTCCGCATCACCACCTCTCAAAAGGCACCCACACCTAATGCACCCGCGCCCCGTCTGGCTGGCTCCCTCCTGCCATCGGGGTGAGACCTCACCGGCAGACACCTGTTCAGCTGCCCCAGATCCTTTATTGAGGCCTCTTGTTTGACCCAAATACATTAACAAAAGATGCTGAGATTCAGCCCCAATCGCAGGGCCCTCCCTTCCTCTCGGCCAAGGATATAGGATTTGAGAAAGTGGGGGAAGCACAGGTGGGGGGAACAGAGGAGAGATGGGGACCCAGAGATATGACAAGAGGAAAATCACAAGGAAGAGTTTAGGGAGTAATGGGAAGGAACATAATAGATACAGGACATTGTGGGGCAGGACACAGAAGTCAGATGAGATCGCTGGGCTGTTGT